CCTCTTTGAGCACAATTCAGGTCATTATAGTAAACTTTCAGAGGCCTGCTATTAGGGTTAGTTGTAAAATTGAGCCAGATTGCCATGATTGGGCAATGTTCCCAAAGCGAATGGGCTAATTCACCAAATGCCAAGGCACACAGCAACTTTCCAGAAGCTCAGACCTTGTTACTTCTTTGCTTCCATAATCATAAGAGGTGCAGGAAACATATGAAATCTTTAGGCCCCATGGTTAAGAATAAGGAGAATGAAGGTATTGGAACGAGAGGTTCTTTACAATCAGAATCAATAGCTCTACCAGGGTCCATTCCTACAGGTGATATTATAACACAGAGAGCAAAGAGAATGTGACTGTCTCAAATTGTGAAGAAAAGATATTGGAAAAGGTAATTGCAGCCACTTATACACATTAACCGGCTGAGCATCAGGGGTTGGGGAGACCATGAAGGGACAGCTCACTCCTCCCTCCTGACAACGGTGACAGATCTCCTTATCCCAGTGTGCCGCTGCCCCGGTGTGCTGTGAGATATCTCACCGTAGAAACCACACAGCAGATCTTTGGGCACATCACATCCGGTCCTTTGAGCCATGCACAGCTCATCACAAAGAAAGTCTCAACTCCCGACCACTTACTTGGAAATGTTATTGTTTTCACGGATCTTCACGTGGCACAGAATGTTGGGCAACTTTTGTGTCACAAGAACTTTGATTTGGTCCACAGAGCTACATAACTTTAGGTAACCTAGATACAATCCGGGAGAGAGACGCTGGTGACTCCTTTTGTGGTAGGAGAGAATATCCTGTAGGATGGAACAAAAAAAGAAAGAAAAAAGTACCTAGAAAGGTAGTCTTACAACTTTTTCCTTTCCAAGGTGGGCCCGTTATGAGTGAAAGGAGCTGTGACTAATTAGATGGGAAACCTCAGGTACCACCATAAATGCTGGGCAAGTATTAGTGTTACACCTAGTTTTACCTTCAGCAGAAGTCTCCCTCAAGTCAGGCAATCAGTCTTTTTTTTTGTCTTTTTGAGACAGAGTCTCACTATGCAGTTCAGGCTGACCTTGAGCTCACTTTGTAGCCCAGGCTGGCCTTGAACTTGCAACGATCCTCCTGCCTCAGCCTCCTGAGTGCTGGGATTACAGGCGTGTGCCACCATGTCCGGCTCCAGGCAATCAGTCTTTAATATATTCTACAAACTTATTTTTTCCCAGATTTCTGTGCCAAGGAGACGTGTGGGTTATGACTGGGAATAGACTGGTGGTGGTGGAAGCAGACAATAAAGGTAGAATTCTTAATTTCTCTCCCAGGAGGGCTTACTGGTTAGCTGGGAGAAAAAATACATTTGCCAGTATAAAACTCAATGAAGCCTTTACAGGAAATGTCATGACTTCAGGATAATTAAAACGGAAAGTCCATTATTAAGTGAAGCCATTTAAAACAGAATCAAAATTCTGTAGTAAGTAGGAAAAAAGCTTTGATTGGTTCTTTATCTTAAAAAAGTAACCTGAAGAGTTTCATTTTATATTATGAACAAATTATAGTTATGCACCAAACCTGAGAATGAAGAGAGAATCAAACATTGATTTTTTTTTTTTTTTCTGGTACTGGGAACCAAACTCACGACCTTGCACTTGCCAGGCAGGCACTTTGCCACTGAGCTAAATCCCCAGCCCAAACATTGATTTTTATTTTGGCTTAGTTTTTGACTAAATTGTATGGTAGCCAAGGTGATACTCTTAATCTTTGACTTTTACAATGTGACTTTCAGAATAATGAAGACAGTGACTTGCAGATTCTCTAAAGTTTCATATTTCTTCCCTGGGGTAGTAAAAATTTTCAGTATTGAAATGTTCTTATGAATTTATTGTTCATTTTGTGCTCTTCAGTTATTAATTGGCCTACTACTTCTTGATTCTCAGTTGTTAGTGGCTTTGCATGTGAGTTAACTGGGTCTGCACCTCATTTTCATCAACTTCGCAAAATTCTGCATCTTTACAACAGTTGAAAGCTTGCCTTATAATGGATTTGCATTGAAATTGCGTTGCGTTGCCACATCAGAATATTCCACCTGTTGTGGAGACTGAATGAAGTTGCTGATACAGTAGATGTGTCATCCAAGTCTAAGTACAGTGAGATGTTTGATGGAATCTTGTTTTACATGTGATCAGTTCCCGAGTGAGCCATCTGGATTAGGACTCTTGTCTCCCTGTACAAGTTCAGGGTCTCAGAGAATGAATCCTTGGAAAACACAGACACTCTCTTCGTCCCAACCCCTGTATTATGAAGTAAGACTTTCTAAACTTTGGGAAGAAGAGTATGGGAAACAAAGTTAGCAGTGAGGAGGCATGCCACTGATTATGAGAGGGCTTTCTGTAGGCTAGTTTAGCTTGGTATTTAGACAGGGTAAATAACTGTCTAAATTTCACAGACTCCAAACAAGTATCACTCCAAACAAGTAAATGAGGTGTTGGCTATAATAATTAACTTACCATTCTACATTATATTGTGTATATCCAACATCATTTTGTAACCCACAAATATATAGTTATATTTTTAAATTAAAAATAACTAATAAAAATGAGTAAATATAGTGTGTACATTTACAAAGAATGAAATAAAAGGAATCTACCACTGTGTAGGGAAGGCAAGAAGTGAAACAAAACTGAAAATTTAAATGTATAGAATTCTATGCAGAAATTACAGGCCTTTTTGGACCACTGAAGGTGTGATACTTTGAAGGAGTACTCCCCGCTCTGTAGAATTAAGCATCTACAGCACCTAACATATACTATTGTGTATTGTTTTCTCTGTCCTATTCTTTGTCAAACATATAGAGTTCCTGTGATCTGCTGGACACTGAGAAACACAGGCTTCAGGTAAACATGATGTGATTTATACTCTGTGGGAGCTGAGAAAGACAGATGACCACAATATATTGACAGCAGTTTTATAATAGAGACAGTGTAGGCGTGCAATGGAAAAGAATACATAATATATTTTTTCTTCTTTTTCTTTCTGTGTTTTGAGGGGCATGGGTTTTAGGGAGCAACATTTTTGACTTGTGCATACTAGTCAAGTGCTCTGTCACTGAACTCTCCTTCCAGGCCCTATGTTTTCTTAAACTGGACTGTGAGATTAATGATATAGTTGTGTTTTGTTTTATTGCTTTGTTCCCTTAACACCCAATACTATTGTGAATTTATTTACTTATTTATTTATTTAGGTACCAGAAATCAAACTCAGGACTTTGCACTTGCCAGGCAGGCGCTTGTGCCACTGAGCTATATCCCCAGCCCCACTATTATTAGTTTATAAGGTAAGTACACAACATATGGAAATCAGGTGAGGCCTCTAAAACATGAGATAGCAGAAGAGGAAGAAATTAAGTAAGAGTAATCACAATTGGGAGGCAGATATAACTAACAACTTGTTTGTACAGAAAAGCAAACTCTAAGCAGCTTTTTAAAAGGCATCTGGAAAACACAATTTTTCTTATGCTCAATCAGGAAAGAATTCTTATTAGTACCAGGGGATGGATAAGGCTGAACTTATTAAAATCTTCTATCATGTCTCTATAGAACAGATCATAGTAGTAGTTGATTGGGAGAAGTTCAATTAAGGTAGTGTTTTGGGAAATGGGGAACTAGTCACAGGGACATAAATGGTTAATGTGGGAAGGAAAAATAGAAGTATTCGGATCAGCTGAATTTGATGATATGTACCCTAGGGGTACTTGATGAACAAGCAGATGTGGCCATAGACCCATGGGTCATTATTTTTTAGAAGTCATGGAGAACTGGGAAAGTCCCTGAAGATTAGAAAAGGACAAATATGCCTGTCTTTGGAACAGAAAGGGGAGAAACACAAGCTGACCCTAGTAATTAAAGACCTCCAACTTATTGATCTTTGGGGAAAATGAGAAATAACTGAGCATATGATCAATTTGCAGTCACCCAGGATATCCTGAGGCATTAAAGGGGAGTCAGGGGTTATGAAGAGCAAATCATACAAACACCTTTAATTTCTAACAGCAGTAAAATAGGATCCACACACTAGGGAGAAATCTCCAGGGTAATGTTTCATTGGATAACTCAGGAAAAATAGGAAGTTGGCCATATTTAACAAGCTGAACATCTGGGTTGAAGATCTGCGGGTGATAGAGATGCTATGGGACCAGAAGACAGATTGAGTGGTGACGCAGTAGGGATTATTCCCAAGGGCCACTGTGTTCAGCTTACTTATTGACTTTTTGGACAAAGAAAATCAAGAATGTGTATATCAAGTTTGTGGGCCTCAAATTTAGTGTGGTTTTGATTTTCTGGAAAATAATAATAAAGCTATGAATGACCCAAATGCATTGGAAAAATAAGTCTATCATCATTAGGGTTGAAACTTAATAAGAGAATGTGCTTGTAAAGATTCAAACCCAAGGTCCAAATATAGGATGGGTAAGGGTGTTAGAGAAAAACATGTGGGGGTCAGGTCTGACCACAAATAGAATGTGAGTCAGGAACATACTGTGGTTATACAAAAAACAACATCTAGGATGGAGCAATTCACTCTTTCATTCAGTTTTTTAGAAAACTATCCCTGAGCATCTACTATGTATTCTTTTGCCTTGACATTGTCAGCTATCCTTCACTGGAATGCTTTTGGAGCCTTCCTAATGTATGTAATGTGAAGGAGCTGTCCTCCTCATATAAGCCAAAATTCACTAGAGAGTCCTTCAAAAACCAACTCGAGTATTTGATTTAATCTCTAACCCACATTTTTAGCTTCTGCCTCCCATTATAGTCCTTTTATGTCCCCTGTCTCCTGCCATAATGAATCAGCATAATACATGCTTTTATATCCCTTTTGTGATCGTTTGTTCATGACTTCACTCACTCTTAACTATTATTGCACACATACTGTATGTCAGGGATTGTGATAGGTTATTAATGACACCAAAATGAATAATACATGATCTTTCCCTCAAGGAACTTAACATTTCAGTGTGCTGGAGAAACGTGTGAGCCAATTTTTCTATCCCAACATAATGAAGGCCATAAGAAGAGTGTGTAAGGTCTCTGTGGACACAAGGGAGGGTGAGATCAATTTCTGCCTTGTGTCTTTACTATGGCCTCTGCTGAATTCCCTCTTTACTCCCTTTTCTTGTTCTTTCTTTCTCCACTTGATAAAACTTATCTTCATGGCTCAGCCAAATGCCAACTCTTCTGCGATGCCTTCCCTGATATTTCCAGGCAGAATTAATAGCTGCTTTGTGAGTGCTCCCATAGTACGCTGTTTGTACTACTATCAGGCTCTGGTTTAATTCTGCCTTGTATTACCTTGATTTGTTTACAAGACTGTCTCCTTCCCTTGACTGAACTCCTTGAGAGCAAGGACCTTGACTTATTCATTTGTTTTTCCTCTAGCACCTAGAAGAGTGCCTGGAACCTAGTGGGTGTTGAAAAAAACCGTTCATTAAATACAAAATGAAAGGCACAGAGGTGTGGGCTGTGGGGCTGGGTCTCTGGGAGAGAAAAAGCCTTGCAGGGACCAGGAAGGGTGTGTTGAGCGTCTCTTCCTTGGTCTGATATCCTAAGAGCTTGTTAAAGGAATAATAAATAGTTACTTTTCCAATAACTATAGGGCTTTTATTTGGGTGGATGAGGTGTAGAAGTTGCATTGTGACAGAGTGGTGGCTGGTGGTTTTTGTGGGACCGAGATTATACAGACTATAAATAATTTAAATTTTCTGGAATATTTTCTTGCTTTTAAAACTAAAGAGATTTTACCAGAAACTCTGGATCTCAAACTTCTCTCCTAAAAGTGGAAAATATTTCAACAACGGAACTGTGTTCTTCCATTGTAATAGCTGAGGCTGAATAGGGTCTACTGTCTCTAGCTGAGATGACAACGCTCTGGATTAATGTGGTTTCTATTATTTCTACTTGGTTCTTTATTTTTTTTTTAAAAAATTGAAATATAATTTATATACTACAGATTCACTCTCTTAAAGTATGCAATTCAATGGGATTTATTATACTTAGAAGACCACACAAGTACCATCTCTATCTAATTCCAGAACATTTTCATCACTTGGAAACCCAACATTCATTAGTTGGCACTGTCTAACCTCTTCTTCATTGTATTTTCTTACTATGGATATAGTGTATAGGGGCTGGGGATTTAGCTCAGCAGCACAGCACCTGCCTGGCAAGCGCATGTCGTGAGTTCGATTCCCAGTACCAGAAAAAAACCAAAACAACCAAAAAAATAATAGATATAGTGTATAAATAGAATCATATAATATGTGATACTTTGTGTCTGGCTTCTTTCTCTTAGCATAATATTTTCAAGGTTCATCCACATTGTAGCATGGGTCATACTTCTTCATTTTTATGGCTTAATAATATTCCACTATATGGCTATGTTACATTTTATTTACCCATTCATCAGCTATTGGACATTAAGGCTGTTTCTGCTCTTTGATTCTTATGCATAATACTTTTATGAATATTGGTAAACAAATTTTTGTGTGAACCCAGTTGTTCCTTAAATGCAGGCCAATTAGCTCACAGCCATTAATCTTTCTAATTTGATCATTTTGAGACCTATATTAGATACTGCTTGAGGGTAAGAAAAGTAGAAATGTTCAGGAAGAAAAGAAAAAGGCAGAAGATATAGTAGGTCTTGGGCACCTGGAGTATGAAAAAGGTACACGGTAACTGGAGGTGGAAAAGAATGACTGAGGAGAAGAAGAGAAATAAAACAGGGATGGGAGGAGAAAAAAAGACAGGCTGCAACATGGCTTCTTTATGGCAGACTTCTAAGAAAGGGACAGAAAAAATGAAGGCAGAGTGCATTAAATAACATGGTAGAGTGAGAAAGACATTAGGCTAGGTGTCAGAAGATGTGAACCCTAGACCCTCTTATGCTGCATTTTGGCTGATAACTTTGGCTATTTATCTACTTGAAATCTGTGGCCTCATCTGCAAACTGGGTACGAAAGAATCACTCAACCTCACTGGATTTTGAATCAGTTTATATCATAGATGTGACAAAGGGGCACAAAATTGAATATAAGTATACAAGTGAGAGATTAATTTTCAGAGGAAACTTCACATGTAGGTGTCTAGTTCCTGAAGTGACCCTTAAAGATCATGTTTAGAATAACCCAGCACATGAGGGGCTTTCTTAATGGAAATACTCTCATTGACAAGTAGTTTGCTCGGAGGGACACTAATTTGTCCTTACTATCTCTCTTTTACTTTCCGGGTAAGCATGAGAAGGATTTTTCTTTCCTAGATAAGTTAAAGAGGTCAGTTCTGAAGGTCTAGGATTTGAGCAGGTTAGGAAATTGACAGAGTTGGGTAGTGAAGCTTCCCTGGGGTCTTACAGCTATTAGAGTAGTTGTGGGCTGGAATTTTGTTAAAGTTTTGAAAACCTACTTTTGAGAACCCATTGTGCCTCATGTAGCTTTTATATAGCTTCTCTTAACTGTTATGAACAAGTAAATGAAGTGATGAAATGCTCCTAGGCATGGATAGGGCAGTAGCAGAGGTGTGCTGGAGAGTAGGACAGAAAAGATGTGCTACTTGTGTCCTGAGGCAAAATAATAAAACTCACTATCATTTATTGTGCTACTTTTCTGAGGTTTTACCTACTAATTCATTTAATATAAGGTTTTTTTTGTTTTAGAGGAGGTGATACAAGGGGCAAGAAGTCCAGTAACTTGCTCTGGTTATGTAACAGAAAGGATGGAGTCAGGAATAATATCCTAGTCAGACAGATTCCAGGGTGGTACCCAGAGTGTGTTGTGAGATAGCAAGAAAGAGCCCAGCTTTCCAATGACCAAGGTGCCTGATAGTCATCACTCTACTTCCCTGAGGAAAGACAGTGATCTGTGACCTGTCATTGTGGGAATCACGCAGTCTGCTTTGGGTCTCCAAAACCTGTGTAAACCCTTGTGTTCAGTTGGTGGAGCCTAGTTCTGACAATGGAATCTTAAGTTTAGGATGGATTAGATACTAGCTCTAGGAATTTTAGCCCCCATTTTCTCTCCAGAATAAGACCTATATAGGAGGGTAGGGAGAGAGAAAAGGTGGGGGAAAGAGAGGGGAGAGAAGGGGTAGTTGGGAATGACATCAAGCAGGAATGTGCCAGTCAGCGGGGGTAAATTTTCCACTTGGATCTGCGTGGAAACCTGATCCTGCCTCTATTTTTGGTCTCCTTCTCTAACAACCTTTCACCAGATTGGAATTTCTCTGCACCTGTAACACATTTTTAATGTAATAAGTCTAGGAAAAACCAGGTATTATATCATGCTGGGGCTTGTGCTGTGTTTCTAGGAGCAAAGGTAGCCCAGACCCTAGTTTATCCCTATAGGGGATTAGTGTATTAGTCACCCTGTAAAAGCTCAATTTATTATGATTTTTTAATGTTTCTTTTAGCACTCGGTTATAAAAGGTGAAGAGGGGAGCTACAAATGTGTCTGTGTTCCCTGCCCCCACCTCCTTCACACAAACACATACACTCTATCAATTTGCTATGAACCCAAATTCAATAAAATCAGATGCAAAGGTATTGGCTTTGACCAATTAGCTTACCTTTGCTGTGTTGGGCTTTGTCCTGGTTTGGTCCAGTGCAAGTAATGAACAGGTAAGGTTATTGCACTCGGCATCCCTCACTTGGGAATGAAAGTAAGTTAGCTGTTTAGGGTGACCACGCATGGCTCCTGGGACTGAGGCTGGGATTTGGCTTGTTCAGTGTGACTGAGCCCTTCCTTGCTTGCTATTGCAGATGGGCTGTTTTGCAGATATATGCTGTTGGTTGCACGGGGCTCAATGTACTAGATGTTTCTGCCAGTTACTATAAACTGATAGTTTTATACAACTACCTTTCACTGGGTTTTAAAAAAGAAAGAGAAGGAAACAGCTTGAAGCCTGTGCTTACACAGAAATACATAAGACAGCGTGGTGGCTGGGGCAGTGTGCACTCAGGGGCAGTCAAGAGCTCGGGTCCCCCTGCTGTCATCCAGGCCAAGAGTCTGCATCTAAGCTGCTTCGTATTTGAACTTAGGTGGCTATTCAGTGTTCAGGTGAATCTTTCATCCTTTCATTTTATCTCCCATCCTTCATTCACTAAAATAGCAACTCTTACTCTAGATGTAATAGAGCAGAGAAAAGCCTGCTTCTAGTCAGAAAATCTGAGTTGAAATTTCTACTCTGTCCATTTCTAGCTGTGTGCCCATGAGACACGTTCCATGTTTCTAGGGGCCAAAGCTCACGCAATTTCTGATTCCTTCTTTAAGAAAAAGAATACAAAATTATCAGTGAGAAATTGCTGGAGTGCCAGTCAGGGACTCAGATGGACTCGTTCAAGTGAAGAGCTGAAAGACATTGAAGCTTTAATAGCTTCACTAACTTTGCCAGTGTATAGCTGTATGTCAGTTAACCTCTTTGAGCCCCAGTTATTTCATTCCTAACATGGAATTAATCATGCCCATTTGTTCCAAGAGAGTATTGTAAAGAACAAGCAAGCGTAAATATGTGTAAGAATGTTTTTGTTCGAAGCATCATACATGCAAAGTACACGTCTATTTGTACTATATGGTATTATTGTTACAGTCCACTCTGCATATGCCCCACTCAGTTATTTGTCTCAATGTTTCTTTTTTTTTTTGGTTTTTCTCCGGTACCGGGAACCGAACTCACGACCTTGCGCTTGCCAGGCAGGCGCTTTGCCGCTGAGCTAAATCCCCAGCCCCCTGTGTCAGTGTTTCTTATTGGTCTATTGGTTGGAGTATTTTCATAGTGACCACTATTTGTATTGCTTGATGAGTTTCAGATCTAGCGAGGGATAGATAAAAATAAGCTTCAGCATCTTTTGTGTGTGGAATATGAGTAATGACCTGACTCTCTCTATTCTATTGCTCCACATGTAAATGGCTCTTGATATATTTTACTAGAGCCTCCCTAACTGTGTTTGGAATTTCAAATATATCAGAAAAAAGACTACATACCTGGATGGTTATCAGTAAAATGTCTAAGGCTGTTGGCTCCTCAGGTGTGGACAGAGACTTCCTCTGGCTTTGCAGTTTTGAGATCTGCATCCACTTGCCATTAAAAAAAGAATAAAGCATCTCCACTTCTCTGATAGTGACTATGAGAATGTTTCCATGCCGGTCTTTAATGGGTTCATAGTAGACTCTTCCCAAGTTGTGTGTTCCAAGTAAATTCTAGAAACAAATAGATAACGGTAGCTGAGATGGTATTGTAAAAGCAAAGCAATGTAACCATGACAAAAGACACTGTGAATCATTGTATGACTTCTGAGAAGCTGTATGTTTTGTCAGATTTAAACCTAGGAAATGTGGCATCATAGGAAGGCACTTAACAGAAACTTAAATTCACCATGAGCCTGTGAAGATTATTGCAAAAGGCACAAACATCATGTTGTTTTACAGCAAATTCAACAACTGTAAATACCTCTTCCCCACATAGACACCAGCACATAAACCTCAGTTACCAGTACTTGAGGAGAATCCCAGATGTTTGAAAGAAAAATGCCTGATATTTCAAATATGCTACTTGGGGAGTTTTCAAGAGATCTACAGTAAGCTTGTATGAGGTAGAATTGTTTCCCCAAATGACTGCACATTCTCTGCAAGATACTTTAATTGAGAGATTGGCCTGGCTTGACTTATCTGCATTTCAGGGACTTCTGTTTATTTAAAAGCAATAAAATTGCTTATAAAGTAGATCAAGTGAGATAGACAATAGTTTAAAAAAGTAGGCAGTGAAGGACGTCACATTAAACGTGGAGGGGTCTACGTGAGTGTTATGAAAAAATAAATAGGAGTTTAACAAAAATGCAGGGCTTACAGAATTCTAACTTAGAACCTTGGATGACTAGGATACAGATTTTACTTACTTCAAATATCTGTGTTTTAAAGAAATTATAAATCTTCCCAGAGATCCTATTTTTGTGAGCTCACATAAATGATAATGCGATGACCTGCTAGCATGAGAGCAAAAGTAGAACTGGCATTTATAAAAGTGGCAAGGTTGACCTAAAAATAGAGCCAGCTGGTCAATATTAGTATGTCCCAAAGCACTGGCCTTCTCCCTTATAGGTGGGGACCATGTTTTAAGCTTTTTATTCTTCTGCACAAAAATCAGACATAAAGAGTAAGGGAATTTCTAAATAAGTATGGACATATTATAACAATTCACTTGGCAGTATCACTACTTTTAAAATGGCCTAAAGACTCAAATTTTCTCCTTTCTGACAAGTGATTCTAAATAATAGAGAATTGGTTTGGGTAAGGTTTTTAGTCCAGGCTTTTATAGTACTATAATTTTATATAGAGGCAGTTTACTAATAAGCAGTGTTGTGCTAACAAAATGTAACAAAAAGGGAGGCAATATCGGATTTGTAGCATGTACCAATCTCTGTGGTGTAAATATCTTTGCCATAGTTGATTCAAGCTACCTGGGCTCTGACAGAAAGCTTTCAAAATTTGTGAATATTTAACAGTTGGCTCTGCAGAGCCAGTACAAGCTGGCCGCAGCACACCACCGCTATAACAACTTTACTGTACTGGTGTTGAGTTTCAGGGCTGGCTGCCATTCATTAGCTGTTGGACTGACTGTTTACCCTCTTTGGTCCTGAGTTTCACCATGTTAAGTGAAAGGTCATTACAGTTCAGTTATCCCTTATGCTAATCCTTACTTCGGAGGCATCTGTGGCATGCCTGCCTGCCATAGTGGGCTGTTTGTTACCACTGAAAGTTCTAGAAGTTTCACCATCACTGTCATAGAGCGTTTGGGGGCTTAAATTAAATAATGCATGAGAAAGTGTTTTTGCAGTCTTGTAAGCCTACTACAGTATAGCCATATTGGCTTTCCTTTCTGCTATAATTGGAAGTTCTCTTTGGCTTACCCCTACTCACTTTAAACATCCAGTCCAGATTTCACCTCTTCTGGGAAGACTTTATCATCCTTTCCTGACTTCCCTGTTGCTTACTGTACAGACTTCTATCTTATCAGTCTTTGGCTTTGCTGCATAAAATTGATGCTCATATCATGAGATCATGAGTTTTTTCATTTATGTCCATGAGTCCCTTACGTGGTGCTTGCCCCACACAGTAAGAACAGTTCTTTGTTGACCAAACTGACATACAATATTTCATTAGGTCACTGGAAAATATGATTCACTTTGAACCAAGGCTGATGGTATACTTTGATGGAGGTGCTCACCTCATTAAATAGTTATTGTCATTCCTTCACTGTCATCTTTGGATGTTTTCTAATGGGCTGAATAAGAAAGCACTAAAATAATCCTGAAATTTTTCATTGACATCAAATTGGGCTGTACAGCTAGTTTTTTGGGGGGGAGCTCAATGGAAAAGCAGAACGTTCTTGTGAAAATAAATTGTAATCCTATTCTAATGGGGCAAAGTCAAGGTTCTTTAAGTAGTAAAACAGATTATGTTAATACCTGTCATGTAATTAGGTTAGGCAGTCTGGGCCCGCTGACAATACTACAAGGTAGAGAGGAGTAAGATCCCATTGATGGTAAACAGGAATGCCTCTAGCTTATCCCCAAATCATAAAACTAGAAGTAAGCCCTTGATAGATGCACTTTTTTTTTGAGAGTTTTATTTAATATGTGGGGACCTGAAAGAGATCCAGAATTGGGATGTGAAGGCTTACAAAAGTGGAGTGAAATTTTGAGGAAAGCTTTCTTCTTCTTGAAAAAAGAAGACAGTTCATAGATTGTTATCTAGCCCTCATTCATTAATACTAATTTCTAAAAACTATGGAAGAGTGAAGTATAAAGCAATACAATCTACACTGTCAGAATATTACTGTCTTCGAGGATTAAATAATTCAGATACCTCTCATTATGAGAGCAACACCCACTCTATTCCTAAGAAGAGGCCTCTGCTATTTTCCTGAAAGAAAACACTTACAGGCTTCCTCATCTTACTTTTTTTTTTAACTCCAAATGCTAACAGATATTTGTTTCTCTTTCTGCCTATCAAATTTTAATTAATTTGTTAATTAATATTTCACATTTTTTCAGATAAACTTAAATGCCAATTTTAAATATACTACCAATGCTGCAGAATTGATTTCTATTTTCAAAAACCACAGTGAGGGTAATTTATTTAAAAATTTTGTCTACTTTTTGTAAATTAACATAATAATGTGCTGAAGTATTGGGAATTATACAGAATGATAGGAATTATAAAGAGGAATTATATAGATCTGGATTCAAATCCATACTCCGCTATTCTCTATTTGTGTGAATGGACACAAACTACCCTTTCTATACCTCAGTTTTATGAGGTATAGAAATGAGTATCACTACTAGTGCATTCACATTAGGTTGTAGTAAAGATGAAATGAGATAGTTTGTAAATCATTTAGCACAGCGCTTTGCACCTAATCTGTTAAGTAAATGAAAGTAATTATTGCACTATTACTAATTACTCTTTGCTATTTTAAGGAGGACCTTGGCATAGAATAGAAACCAGAAAACAAGGAGTACATGGAACCGTTGATATATGTGGTGAAGGGTAAGTCAGTGTGCTGTGGACACAAAGGAGAGAGAGAAAGATTATGGGTAAAGTCCTGTGTGCCATGATAAAATATCTGGGCTACTAATGAGTCGCAGGTAGGGAATGCCATAGTACAATGCTTTAGGTTGGTGCCGCTGGCAGAAGCATGGAGAATGGATTGGAGAGTTTTGAGAGGAGGCCTGGGAGGATGACACTGGGGGCTTTAATGTAACTGAAGTAATCAGGGAGTAGCAGTCAGACTGGAAAGAAGAGGAGTGCAAAATGAAATATACCATAGACAAAGCAACAGAATTTATGGATAGTTTGTGCCAATCAAATTCTAGATGGCACATTTTTACCTTCTTTAGAACATTGTAAAGACTTCAGATTAGTAAAGTGACCTAAAGTGTTATGTATATACCAATTCACAAATTCATTTTTCTTTTTTCTGAAGTTTTTTTCCTGTACCTTATCATTGTACCCTTCAGGTGCCTTCAACATTTGTAGAAATTTTAATTCTAGAGAACAGCAGATAGTTTGGGCACTAAATTGTCCAGCAAAAAATGAAAGCAACTGCTATTATTTAATCATGGAGGTAGAAACATGGAAGAGGAAAGGGAATGCCTAATAGTGCTAAAGGTTTTGATGAGGGCCCTGTAAGAGGTGATTATGATTACTGTGCAGGGTTGGAGAAATATCCAGGTTGTAGCTATGGTGCAAGACATATTTCTGTGATCAGCTTTCCATTTGGTCAGATAATTATCCTCTAGTGTGATTTTGGGAGGATACTCTGGGTTAGACTGACAAATATACTTGTTTAGCCAAACAGTAAGTACAGAGGGTCTTCCACATGCTGATCATTGGAGATCTAGAGATACCCAAGACAGATATATTTTTTGAACTCAGGAACTCACAGTCCACATTAGTTGCTATGCAGACACTGATAAAAATTATTAATGAATGGGGTTATGATCATTGTCCTGAATTAAGAATACAAGGTGCTATGAGAATGAGTCAGCAAATCAGAAAATCAGGGAAAGGCTGAGGAAGTATAAAAATTAAGCTGAGGTTGAAGGATATATAGGAATTCACAAGGGAAAGAGGTGGAAGACAGTTCTAAAGTAGATATGAGGCTGGGTGTGGTGGCGCATGCCTGTAATCCCAGCACTCGGGAGGCTGAGGCAGGAGGATTACAGGTTCAAGGCCAGCCTGGGCTGCAAAGTGAGATCAAGCCAACCTTAACTGCATAGCAACACCCTGTCTCAAAAAGACAAAATAAAAACAAACAAACAAGCAAACAAAAAAGAAAATAGCATGTGAGGTAGCAAAAGGAATTCAGAAAGACAGACTAGAAAGTTGGAAGAAAACCAGGAGAGTGTGGAATTATGGAAGGCAAAAAATGTACTAGGAAAGGGGGAATAGGACCGTATGTATCAAATGCTGCTGGGCTGTCCATCGCAAAGAGGACTTAACATTGTCCACTGGATTTAATGACACTGAAATCATTGGCAGGGATAGAGACAAATTTTGTGGGGGCCTTATTTAAGATAAAGAATACAAAATTACAAACATAAAATGTGGTATAAAAGTGAATGTTTATTTAGAATGAGTAAAGGCCCTTCCCCCACTACTAGCATATTTGGAATTGCTTTCTTTTTCCTGAAATTTCTTTAGGCTGTTTACCAGAAAGGTCTGTTGATTGTAGCCTGACTTCTTCTCCTCATCTAATATACTCTAGGACTCCCACACTCCCAAGGGTTCATGCAAATGAGCAACTTTGAAGCTCTGTCTGACTCTTATTACTGGGGGACTTTGGGTACCATTTTATAGGCATGATAGTAGAAAAATCAGGGCTGATAACTTATGGGAAATGAGAAAGTCAGTGGAAAAATTTGAGTATAAGAGGGAGGAGAGAGACTGCTTGGTAGCTGAAGGGTTATGTAGAGCCAAGAGAGGAATTTGGAGGAAGTTACAGTGGAGATACTTGAGTATTTTAAAATAAAGATGGGAAGGGAAAGAGGGAATCCAGAGCAAGTGGGAGAGATGAGCTTTCGGTAGAAGTGAGAACTAATCTGTTGGACTAGCAGAGGAGAATAGGCAGAGTCAGTACAGGGAGATTTGTAAATTTGGTGGTGGAAAAATCTTTTCCATTCCTATCTATCTATCTATCTATCTATCTATCTATCTATCTATCTATCTATATTGAATTAGTGATTTGGGAATAGACTGTGGAGAAAAGAAAGAAGGGATATGGGGAAGTGGAGGTTTTTAGTAGTTGCAATATGAGAAAGAAAATTTACTAGAGAAATGGAATGGGACTGCTAGCTAACAGTCCATATGAAAATTGTAGTCAGGAGGTTTAACATAAAACCAGTTAACCTTTTATGTGATTTTTCTGCACAATCAAGGTACAACTACTTCACCATAGACATATTCATCCAGACTTCAGATTTTTCCAAATAAACACTATGGAGGGAGAAGGTGTAGGATATTTTCAAGGAATTATTATGACAAATCAAGGAATCTAAGCATAACATGAAGGAAAACAGCTTCAGTTGCATTATGAAAAGTGGTGGGATCAAGACTTAGAAGCCAAGGAAATCTAACACTGTTGCTATGGGAATATGGAGCAGGGTCACACTGCCATCATGGCATCCTTCAGCACCTGACTGCACTAGCTTGTAAAAGCCTGATCTTCTTATGTTACTGATGTGAGATGACAGTGTTGTAGGTAGTCTCTAACAAACATATATTAAAGAGCCTTGCTTAAAATTTTAAGGTTGTTCCGTTTGTGATCCTGGCATATTTCAGGTGTACAGTGGGCTAGTGGGAGGGTCCACTAAGGGGTGTAAGCCTTCTGGGAATGTTCTTGGTCCTAAAGAAAGAGCATTGTGAGGGATAGTGGCATGTTCTACTCAAGTGGGTCAGTGACGAAAGGAAGGAGGGCTCTGAATTCAGCAACAGTAATCATGGCCCAGTTCCAAGAAGTTCTTGACTTGGAGGAGATGATTCTGCAATAAAGAGTGAGTGCAGTATAGGGCAGCTTGCTAAAATCTCTGATACTACTTAGGACACAAGGCAATAAATTACCTTTTTACTGGAATATAACACAGGGGAGCAAAAGTAACCTTTCAGAATTAATTATATTAGCAACACAACACTTATTATTAGCACACAGTGTGGAATTATTATTGTAGGAATTCAAGAAACAAAATTCTTATAATTGTAGGCAGGGGTAGAGCTGTAGAATTTCATTTTTATGATTATGACACTTTGGTACCATGGCTGGTATAGCCTGGCCAAAGGCAGTTTACATTGATTCCTGTACACTTCCAGGGTGGACGTAACTGCCAGCTGTGTAGTTAGATACACATCACTGACAAAGTCTCAGTGATCTCTTAAGGACCCCAACTTCATGTAACAGATGTTTTTCTGTGCTAATATCCACAGACTAAGGTCATATTAAAAAAAAAAAAAAACAATGACAGGAAAACCCAGAAGAGCTTGGTTAGTAATCAGTGCCATTTCTAGGAGGAGCTGTACAACCTCCACAGATTTCGGCAGGGCTTGGACACTTGATTTGATTTGATAGATAAAATGCAGAGATGAGTACAGACAGGATTACAGGTACCCTTTCAAGAGTTGCTTTCTTTGGTTTTTATAAGTAGGAAAAAATGTACATAAATTCCCATGTTTTATCAAAAGCACTACATCAAGAAACTCCTTTGGGTATCTGCTGGTCTCTGTCCTCTACAGATCCACAGATGCTCCCGTGCTCAAACAGCTGCGAGGGTCCTTCCAGTGACTTAATCAAACTTCTGTTATTTTGCAAGTGATAAAACTGAGGTCGTGCCGGAGAACCAAGATGTCTGATTAATAGTAAATCTAGAGCTTGAGTCTCCTCACTGCTTGTTGATGCTAAAGGCACAAATTCTGCTCATGAGTAGAAGTGCCATTCAGATTGTTCAGGAAGCTTTCATGTGCCTAGAGATCTGAAAGAGGAAAGAGCTCACCCTTTTCCTTCCCAGGTAGGACTGGCAACAGAACTTTCCAGAAACAAAGACAGAAACCTGAGTGTCTCGTCCCTCACCTGTAGCTGGGCTGTCGCAGCAAGCATCTTCTGCCGAGTCTGCAGCACTGTGGATGAGGACATGGAGATGGGTACACTTTGCCTCAGCCACCTTATGTCTTCCCACATACAAGACAGCTGCAAAAGAAGTCACAAGGGCGTATCATTGTCCAAGCCAGTACATGATTTAGGTCGTGGCATCAAAGCAAAGCAAGGAGAAGGAAACTTGACCCCCGATGTTTGTTCTCCAGTCCATTTTCAGATACATGCGAAATAACTTTTTGATCTCTATCCAATTGGAAAAAGATCTGAATGCTAATGAAACAGTCAGATCCACATTTTAGTCGTTGCCAAATGATCCCATAATTCAGAATACTGGAGACACAATCTGACAGGAAGCAAGCTTCTTTCTTTGGAAATGTAGTGTAGGCATTATTTGTGTGTGTGTGTGTGTGTGTGTGTGTGTGTGTGTGTGTGTGTGTAATGACAGGGCACATTAGGGCTTAAAGGGACCTTTGAGATAATTTACTTCCACGCCAGAACTTGAATCACTAGAACCCCCTCAATTAGGATTTTATAGATTTATATGCAGTAAGCTTGGTGTGAAGTGGGGAAAAATGAAGTCAGAACTCAGTATACCTTCGTGAACCACAGAAAATCTTGTGTAATAGAACTGGCGTGAGAGTCATCTACTTCAACGATTGGTATTTGATCTTCATTGGTGACTAACATATTGTCTTTGTGATAAAATATAACAGCTATGTAGAGTCCCCTACAAAGATAAAGCAAAATTTAAAAATTGTCCTCAACTATCTCCTCTTCCAAACTTGAGTGAGTCCTGGAAAAAAAAAACTTAGTTTTTTGGACAGAAAAAAATATAATTTTAAAATATACCTAGGAACATTATTCCTGCTATGTATCACGAGTTCATTGGCTAGAACTCAGAGAAGTTACTGTCTTGCCCAGATTCTCAGAATTCATTCCTTTGATAAAAAGGAAATTTCCACCAAGTTTCCACTCAGAATCAAAACCAACTAATTCCTGAGAAGTTAACACTTCCTGGAAAAACTATATAGGACCCACCGTTTTAAGGTCTTCACAAACTTGTTTGAGGAATGGAATAGATGTTTCAGGCTTCTTGATACTGACTGCTTGCGTCCTGTGGTTTGTAATTTTGAACTTTCTAGAACAGAAAAATACAATATAAATTTCACTTGACAGGTCAACACTTCTATTCCTTCTTTCCTTCTTTCCTTCTTTCCTTCCTTCCTTCCTTCCTTCCTTCCTTCCTTCCTTCCTTCCTGTTGCTATCCCCTCAGTATCACTCATCAGCTCATTCATTCCTATAAAAAGCTCTCATACCTTAAGATTCCAGTGGTTAATTCAATTAATGAATAACTCTTCAAACAAGTTGGAGATGAGTAATATTAATAATTCCAAGAGAAACATGTTTTATCAATACTCTTAGATTCATGATTTATCAGAAGGATAAAAAAATGGAAGCAACTCTTTTGCCTTCTTCTCCTATCCCTCAGTTGCCTTTTAATAGTCACACAGTTCTCAGTGGTGCCAAGTTCCCCTGGTTAGTCCACATATTCTATTAAGTTCTTTTCATTATAAAATTAATATAAACACATTATAGAAGTCTGAAGCATGAGGGAAAAAAGAACAAAATGTCACTAATAGCATCACATCACTTTGTACAATCACTACTGGTATTCTGGGGCAGTTTTCTCAAGTATGTATGTTGGCTTACAAATATACTTGTAGGGGTAATATGATTATCATGCTCATTATCTAGAAAAGAAACTGAGACTGAGAAATGAAATAGATTGTCTGAGTTTGCAAAGTCAGGAAAACCTGAGACATTCATTCAGTGAATGTTTTTATTGGGGCAGAGGGCTACTGTATAGACACCTCTGTAGCCATAATAGTAAACAAGTCATCCCTTGCTTCTTCTGTTTAGCTCTTCTGTTTACAACCAGGAACTCTTGCTAATAAAAGTAGTGAAATTCCTAGACTCCTGTCATAGCCTCTGCAACCAATGGAGCTGGACTGGATGATCCCGAATTTCAACTCTTAAGTTCTGTGTCATGAAGGGAAGCTGAAGTTGTTGGTATCATCATGAAATTTCAGACAGCCTTGCCACTGGGGCTGAGAACATGGCTCATCTCGCTGCTGTCAGGTATAGAAACCTGGGCAGATGGCGCATGGCTGAGGCCCATTGGAATTCTGCCTGTGATTCTATAAGAATAGCTGACAAGACACAGCATTCATGCCAGTTTCAAGCTTGTGCTGGTAATGATTATTCCTGGAAAAAAGGAAAAGAAGATTTTTTTTTTCCTGACTTGAACATGAGTTTGGCTGCTTGAAAATTATGCTGGGACTTCTGGTTAAATGTTACATAGTAAACATATTCACTGTGTACCATTCACTCCATAAACCTCACTAAAACCAGAGTAGAGGTTGAGGGAAAAGAGGAAACAACATAAATATATAAAGACAAATTGATGGGGAAGAGGACAAAAACAAGTACATTTTGGTAGCTGGAAAGCAGAGGGACAGATGGATTTAGCAGACTTGAGAAAGATGAAGCTTAAACCCAGCAGTAAAGAAAACTGAGAAGTAATTTGATTCACGCCATGGACACCATGGGCTGCTGGAAGTGGAGGGTGTATGTGCAGCTAAAATCTGAAAGATTTATTGAAATATATCTAAAAAGAAGTGATATTTCTAGCTTCCTTCTCTACTGTGCTGCTTCCCCGCTCTAGATGAAAGTTAATGGCTTATTCTCTGGGAAGCAAAAACAAACAAACAAACAAACAAACAAACCAATCTAAAACCAACCAAAATCCAAAACAAAACAAGACTTTCCAAACAAAGTGAAACAGTACAATAGAACACAACAACAGCAACAGCAGCAACAACAATAACCATCACTGAGGTCTCTGGAGTGGGAGATAGGTAAGTATCAGTTACAGCAGGAAGTGGGGCAATGGTGATGGTGGTTCTGTACCAAAAATGCATGGACTGAGTGAAAGTTTCCATACATAGCATTTTCCACTGGGTTCTAACACTGGTAGGCAAACACACACTCAAAGAAGGACACTAGAAAAAAACCTCCATGTAGAGTTTACCCAGCCTCAGAGAATACACCCAAAGATTCTAACATTGGGGATTTCCCAACGAAGTGCTAATTCCAGTTCACCCTGTAGAGAAGCCTATACATTGCCTTATCCATGTTCACAGGGCTCCCCAATGGCTGTTGATTTCTCTTAAATCTGAGAAAACATGTAAGGGTCACTAGGCCTGTGAGAAGTACATCAAACATGAAATACAAAGGCCAAAACAAGCAGAAGAAGAGCACAGAGGAAAAACTATATTGGAAAAAATAGAAAATGAAATAAAAAGCCTATCATGAATATTCTGAGGGTTAAGATATTTCATCCTTCTAAAAAGCACAGACACCTATCAAAAGAACCAGTCATAAAGCAAAGAGAACATTGAGAGTTAAAAATGTTATCAAAACTTAGAAAGCCAGTGGAAGACTTAGAAAATATAGATGATGAGTCTCCAAGTAAGTGGAATAAAAGAACATAAAGATGAAAATTGGAAGGAAGAAGAGAAAAAGAAAAAAAATTAAAGAACTAGTAGGTGTTTAAACATCTGAATAAGAAGGGTTTATTATGAGAGAAGAGAGGAAAAGAATAATTAAAGAAATAACTTTAAAAATGTTCCACAATTGAAAAGTATACATTTCTATATTGAAAAGGATTTACCAAGTGCCTAGTAAAACAGACAACAGATAACACACCACAGAGAATATTTAGAATATTGTAGTAAAAAGAAAACTGAAAACCTTCCAGAGAGAGAGGGAGAAAAAAAAATAGACCTTCTGGAATCAAAATGTATCCGGCTTCTCTGCAGTAAATGCTAGGACACATCAAGCAACACCCTCAAAATCTGAAGAAAAAATATTTCCACTGAGAATTCTTTACTTATCCAGACCCTGAGTAAATGTTAAGTAACGTAATATCTCTTTAGACATATAATGTGACCGAAAATAAGCTCCTGTGCACAGGAAGCTACTAGAGGAAAGACTCCACCACAATCAGGGAAGAAAGAAGTCATGAGGTGCAAAAAAGAACACCAATACTCGGAAATGATAAGAAGAATCCTCAATATTGTGGTGAAAGACAATCTCAGGGCTACCTTCTAGATGGAGCAGGGCAGCGCCTCCATGACAGTGTTACTCAAGATGGTGGAACTGAAACAACACCTAATGTATCTGATTACACTGACAGAAGAACAGTGGGAGAAAAATAAGTGAGGATTTTCAAGGGGGTTCTACCGAGTTAGGCAAGTATAAGCCATTATCTAATTTAACCCACATAATAACACTGGAAGTTAGATATTTTTTTCATTATTTAGAGAATGCTTTATTTATTTCTATAACCAAATCCATGTAGATAAGACCTCACATACATAATATGATGTGTTACGTCTGTTAATTTCTCTTCAATACCAATTCAACACGGTAAACGGGGGCAACTTTTCCAAACTTGACAGCATAGTTAGTTTCCAAAAACTCAAGTTACTTTTTATATTTATATTTATATTTACATTTATAGACCAATAATAGCATGTTATGTATTAATAGCAGCAACAGCTTGTCCAGGTTCTCTAGTCATCTGCACAAAATTATAGAGACATGCAGCACACCCCATTAAAAAAAAAGAAAGAAAAGAAAATTAACAAAAGCCAGAAAACAACAAAGTTCTGTTACTGTTGTGGTACCTGGCACCAAATAAGTTAGATGTTATTAACCTGATTTTTTTCTTTTTTTTTTCGGTGAAGTTGTGGCTCACAGAGATTAAATACTTTCCGTGAGGACACACAGCTAATAAATAGTAGAAATGAGACTTTAAATAGTTATTTTTCTCTAATTGTAAAGTTTATAAAGGCTTATGTCTTCAGTAAATCACATTGCAATTCAATGCAGTTGCTTATTTATTTATTTTTTCTTCAGCCGTGTAAAATTTTCATAGAATTAATATTCCAAGCCACATACTTTGGGAAATCCTGACCTATTATATATCACCTATTTATATTTTACTGGTGATATTGAACCCAAAGAGTACTCAGCTATGTCCTCAGACATTTTTAATTTTAAGACGGGGTCTTGCTAAGTCATTAAATTGCACACGTTAGCCTTGAACGTGTGATTTTCTTGCCTCAGCTTCTCAAGAAGCTGGGATTTCGGGCATGAGCCAATATGCCTGGCTCAGTGTAGTTAAATATTTTAAATAACAATTTCATAGTTTTCGGTAAGAAATACTTACATTATCTTTACTTTATCTTTTTAAACTTAGAGTTGCATTAATTCATTTTAGAATCATTCCTTTTTTGTGTGTGAACCAATGTATTTTATCTTGATATATAATAGGTCAGGATTTCCCAAAGTATGTGGCTTGGAATACTAATTCTGTGAAAATTTTATACGGCTAAAGAAATTGACTACGCCTCGTTATTGGAGTCTTCAGTATTCTGGTTTCTATTTTGCATTTCCAAGACAGAGACGAAGAATGCAGTGTTTCCTAAACTTGCCGACAAGAGAACCATTTGCAGCTGAGCATCTAACCCAACTAGTGTTCTTTGGAACACACTTTGGGTATTGTTGAAGTGTCCAGAGTACAATTCAATATAAACCTGTTCCTCCTTTTCTGGGAAGCTCTACCTTAAGCTTTACTTAAACCTTTCTTAACGTTATGTGTACATTTAAGTTTCTGTGGGGAAAAGCACGTACATGACGGGAGTTGAATGGAAATTATAGAAATAATTGGGTGGGCTAGGCAGTCATTTCCTAATTATTGTATAGTAATCCAATAGTAACAGAGAGAGTGTCTGAGCCTTCAGAAAATATATTTTTAAAAATCCCCCATTCTCATGTTCAGTGTTATCTTTTTCTCTCAGATAAGGACCAGACACAAGGTGGTTTCTGAATTGCAAAGAGTCATCTAATTGTTTTATTACCCTTGCATCCATACAGGATTCCATGGGCAAGGGAATGACGGCCAGACAGAAGAGCAAGGAGCCCAGCCTAGTTAAATGAGTCCTGAGTCAGAGTGGAACGTCGATGGTCCAGGCTTGGGTAAAGTCTTCCTAGAGATCTGGGAGTGAAAATCCCACTTGGGTTTTCCCCTCAAGCTGCTTGCATACATATTTACATCTCCTAATGAGCCACTCATTAGAAAAACATTACTGTCTTGCAAACACTTGTCCTCATTTCTAGCTACAGCCAACACTTCTGAAGGGTCTTCTTGTTGTAGCTACAGTCATTGGGAGCACTTTGCTAATGCTGAGTGTGATTTAGACCTAGTCCAAACACAGCTAGCACAGCATCTCTTAGTTTCAACTATGGATTTCTTACCCAGCTGGCCTAGCAGTGCTCTGCATCTAGAGAGCGCAGTGTATTTGAAGATCTGAAGGAAGCATGGAAAATGAAAACTTTATGGAGGTTTTAATTCTCCAAATAAAACGAAGTGCCTCTTCCACGAATCATTACCTAGATCGGAAATCTGACCCCATCCCATCTGAACAGCCTAAGTAGCAGAGCAGCTTTTAAAAATATCTCAGAGATTCTCTGGGTTCAATGAACCAAAATCCACAGGAGGTGTGCTCTACTTTCCTCGGAGCAGGGAAGGGAGGAGGTCTAAAATTTAGAGATTAAAGCTCAGTGTCCAGCCTTAATGCATGGCTGCGAGACAGAAAAGGGAAATGGCAGGAAGATTGGAGTGGGAGCCAGAAACAGGTCAGAGTCAAAATCCTCTTTTCCTTGCGCTGTGGCCTTGGGTGAGTCACTTAGCTCCAGCTGAAACTGGCAAACTGAGGCAGAAAAGGAGATATATGATGTGAAGTTGCTTTGTAAACTATAGTATAAATAGATTGGATGGCTTCTTAATATTGTTATAGTTGCTTGGACTCCCTTACGGATGCTCAAAGAATTTTCCTTTGGGATGAAAATGTCGAGGGTAAATATCCCCCAAAGTTCCAGCACCAAAGAGAGCCCCACGAAGGGACAGTTCAAACAGAAGGGAATTAAAAATGGCAGCTGCCGTTTTTCTTGTGCTTATTTTCAAACTGTTTGTATGGAGAGAGGGAGAGAGAAAAAGAAAAAGGAAAGAGGGAAGGCTTCGCTGAAGGGTTAAAGCAAGATAGTGCTGTAAAGTGATTCCAGATGTACAAATATTAATATCTCTCTCCCCCTGATGAATGAGAAGGTATGACCCAGCTAGGAAACTGCTAAAATTACCGGCGCCACAGAGACCTCAGCGATGGCCCGGCGCAGATGCTTATCCTTACCCCGGCAACTGTAACGCTGATGAAGGGCTCGGACCTGCTGTAGCAGACTCTCCAGAACTTCATTCTGTCCCTTGTGTCTGGGCTCTCTGTCGTCGTAGTCTTTCCAGTCTATTGAACAAAAGAAACAAATAGAGGAAATTTAAAAGCAGAGGAGGCCTCTTCCCTGCCCTGCCTCAGGAGTTGGGGTTTTGCTGGTTCAACCCACAGACTCCGGGGATGAGCACCCAACACACGCAGAGCTGGCAGGCAATGCCAGCTATTTGGAAGCGGCCATTGTTCAGAGTCTTGTGCAAAACAGTAATTGTGGCTGATTTCTTGTGTTGGGCAGTTTTAGGGTAGGAGAAAATAGTAATAGAAAGCCAAAAGAAAATAGAAAAGCTGGGAGTCCAATCTCTCCACTCCTAGCTCTCCTGCCCTTGTCAGCATCCCGTGTCCTAATCAGTTCCCTGGTCACCTTTCCACTCAGCACCCCGACTCTCAATTGCATTTCTACAGTAGGAAAGAAAAGGGTGGGAATGTGCAGACTAGATGAAATCCACAGTCCCAATGCTTTTATTGTAGGTTTCACACTTTTGGCCAAATTGACATTTCTTTCCAAGGAAAGAGCCTATGTCAGATGCCAAGAAATGGAAATCTACATTTTGCTCTAATGAATGTCTGCTTTGGTTAGCTGGCACAGCAAGCTCTGCACATACTCTGAGCCACCAACCACCCTGTCTGCTCAGTCTCTAAATATACAGTATTAGCTTACATGGCAAATTTAAATTGCAATACCCACTGAGATTTTTTTCTCCCCCCTCTATTTTCATTCCATTTGGCTATAATGATATCAAGAGTAATAACTCATACGGGACTAATGTCAAGATTGCAATTCTGCTGTCTCCAACTCCTTGAGCTCTTTTCAGCAGGTCAGTCATTTCGTTGTCCACCTTTTTTCTCCTCTCTTTTCCCTCCTCCACTTTTCCTTTCCGAACCTTTCAAAAGCAAACACTTAAAAGTGCTTCTTCGTTGAAATGTGTTCTCTAAAAATGTTAGTCATTCTTCCCCAGAAAATCCAGTTAGTTCACAAGTGTATCTTGGATTTAAATTTTAGCTAAACAAGTTTTAAGTTCCCTCTCCAACAGATTTAATTTAAAATAGGGGGTCTTCATCCAGAAACTTAAGCATATGTCATATCAGTTAAAGACAGGTCTGAGCATTTCATGTTGGTGAATCCAAAGCCCAAGAGTAAAGCACATTTAAGAACACAGATTCTGGAGCAGGAGACATCTGGGTGTGAATCCTGGCTCTTTTCATTCCTAGTTCATTGTCTGCTTACATGCTCAGAGCCTCTGCTCCCTAGTTTGAGAAATGAGGATAGTATCTACCTGTGAGATTCTTATGCGGATTAAATAAGAGGTATACTAGGTATCTGGCACAATGCCTGTTACATGACAGGTATTCTGTGAATAATAACTTAGAGTAAAGCCAGTTCATTATGGAAACATAATTTTTTAGTCTTTCAACAGGTTACCTGTGAAGATAGGGCCCTCAGAGATTTTCTAGTTATCTTTCCTTCCCATTCTCTTCTCCGTAGAATTCCATATTTAACGTTTGGGAGAATGAGGCCCAGAGACAACCCTTCCAGTCTAATCTCGATTGTTGGTGGCATAGCCAGGGCTGTAACATGGTCTAGTGACCATCCAGAGTGCTTATCCTCATTTGACTATACTAGGGGCATTTTTTTTTCCTTTTGGGAAGGAAGGTCAGAAGCTTGGGTGGAGTTTGAGTGGCAGGGCTTAGCTGTGGTCAACTCTGGAGACAGGGAATTGGCAGAGGTGCCTTTTGTAGATTATTTGTTCCTTGTGGGCAAGAGCCATGACTTAATCTCGCTTTATTTCACTTTTCTTCTCTTAACAGTGTGATTTAAAATTTCTTTTCAGTTTGTGTGAGATTTAAAAGAAATAATTTAAGTAAAGAACCACTCTGGAACTTAGGTGACACTTACTATATTGCTGGTGAGGCATCGGGAATAGAAGTATTATAGTGTCCGGTAGGCTGGACTGGGGAAGGATTTTTACTGGGAAATTTGGAAAAGTCTGAGGAAGTAACTCCCAGTGACTCTTAGACTAGTTGTAGTGCCTCTCATCCTGGGGGACAGTGAGAATAAAAATCATCAGCTTGGGTTCCCTGAGGCCATTATTGGTTTGTTCTCTTGGATGTGTGCATCTGAAGTGTGCATAAGATGAGCATGATCATGAGCTTGAGTGAGACTCCTGGGTGACTGAATTACTACATGGCCACAAACATGCTAATACATTCTAGTGAAAGTTAATGCTGGCATCAGTGCAAGGGGAGATGAAATGGGTTTGGCTTTTTTAGCTGAGGCCCATACATCAAGGGGCACGCTAGATCTGATGACTTTATGATACATTAGAAAATTGCCAATGCTAAACTGCAGCCCAAGTGAATACTAGTCAGGATGCCAAGGTTTTTGGAAAGAATGAGTTTTTCTGGTAGATGTTTGGAAGGTTCTGATGACTGTATAAAATAGGAGACTTTAGGGATGAGGGAGAAAATTGAAAATATATTAAGAAGTCAGGAACCTGACAGGAGTAAACTTAGCATGGTAGGAAAAGAGCAGGCTGTGCCACATAATATGGTTCACTGTTCTGGTAATGAGACACTTCAGTTGCAACACAATGCAGAGCTTACATTCACTCGCCATATCAGGGTTTTCCTGATCGTAACTCAGACAAGCCTGTCTGGGTGCTTTTCTCTTATTATGTACCATACCATATAACATAAGTCTATAAAAACACATTAAGGCCTTTTGTAAAAATATAAAAAAAAGGTTTTATAGCTTACTGGAACATATTACCAAATTTCCAATTACCCTGTCATGTTAGAATACATTGTCCTCTAGTAAATACCTGAGTACTGATATCTGTTACATCACAATGTCATACCCTGTTTATAAATAGAATGGAAGCATTTTTATATTGTTCTTTCCAAGTGATATGGCATGTCTGCAACAAGTATAACCATATGTTAGGATTTCATTTCTTCATCAGTTATAGCTACTAATCAAATATACTGTTTGAGAAAGTATTGCTATTTAATGCTAATTATCAATATATAAATGATTCCGCCATGTCCTGAACAACTGTTCTTAGCTTTCTGGAGAGACCTTTACAAATGAGCTATGAGACAATATCTGAATAGAATTTGCAGTTTATAGAACCTGAGCATCTGATCTTTATAAGTAAATGCCTCCATATGCAGATCTGAAATTGCATGGGATATGGATTTCGAGTGTGTTCCCTCCTACTTCACTTTCAGGTCAACTGAGGCTAGTGTTTGTGTGCTTTTCCATATACTTTCTGTCTCTCCCTCTCCAGTAATATACACTCTGCTTGGCCCCCTTAGCATCTTACTCTTGCAATTCATTTATGTTTCTGGTAAGTCTTCAGTAATAAAGATTCCAGATAAGACTGGAATCACTCAGTTATCAAATTCAGGGGGAGTGAAGGGCCTTGGGGATCTCTGGCATTTGTGGTCCAAGTCCATGTATGATCCAGTAGAGCTATCTGAATCCATGAGAAGTGGTAGTCAGCATGGTTGGCAGACCCTTGGTCTGCTTGTCTGTCTGCAGTAGGGCTCTGTTAGTTATCACAGCATAGGACAGATACATGGCGGGCCCTCGACAAATTCAGATTATCTTCTGACTCCGACCTACACCACTGATGTCAGCTTGTGTAATGACCTCTCTGAATCCCAGTGCACAGATTGGACCCTGTGAATGTACTTCTATGTTAATAGTTCCCTCATCGATAAAATGGGCCAGTCCATATAGAGTGCTTAGATTCAAGCTCTGTGTGAAATGAGTTTTAAAAAAATTTATCTCTAATGTTAATAGTGATGCATGATGTTTATCCACAAGAAAGGAAGGAGGATGGAGGATTGCAGTGAGGACTCAGAGAGACAGTACATGTGAAAGCGTACAATACATTGCCTGATTCATAGTTGATATTGGGTATTGTTATAAGACTTAAAAATTATATAAATCCATGAAATAGAATATCAAAAAAGCCTATAATCTCATAACCCAAATGTGCATTGTAAAATTTTGACAGTTATCAAGATATGCAGACATACCTTTCCTAATTATAAGTGAACCAATACTTAAATGGAAACCTCCCACCATTTGTACTTTTTTACATAATACTGATACTGTAGAAATTTTTTGCACATAATGAATGGGTTTATAAAATACCGTTTTTAGTGGTTGTGTTCAGTTCTATAGTGTAGATATGAATTTTTCATCGTACTTCACTTTAAGTTAATATTAGATAGTTCTCCCCATGACTTGTGATATTTCACTATTATCAATTTACTGCCATAGTACACATCTTTGTGCATCATTGCTTATCTGTATCTCTTTCCTTAGGTTAGATTCCTAGGTTTGTAAATACGGGGTAGAAGGAAATAGATTTTCTTAAGGCAGTTGATACAATATGGCACATTGTGTTCCATGAAGGATGTGGTAGTTTTCACTCTCTCAAGAAGCATATAGTACCTTTTTTTTACTTTCATAGTAGTAACTTTTGAAACAGTTGAAAACATAATCCAGAGCAGCAGACTCATGACAAAGACAAATCTATCATATTATCTGTCTGGAAACGTTTGCTCAAGCTAATTACATTTTCTGGTGAATAGTTACCAAACATACCAGGAATGAATTATTAATCTTCAAATAATTTTTCAGCCGGCACTGTAAATGTTATAGATTATATTTGTTACAGAGTGCCTGTTAATAAAAAAGCTTTTCTTCTGGCAGAATGTCAGATTAGTAAAATTTGTTAGATTTTGTTCTGGGAAACTGATGTGATGTATCTACCGAGGGAAAGGAAAGGGAGATGAGAGGGAAAATGAACTGTGAACTGTGGGCCAGCCGCTCCCCCGTGTCCCCACTCCACCCTCACTAAAGCCCTGGGAAAGAACAGGACTAGATACGTTCTGCAGATGTTGACTCAAAGCTCTGTGAGTTTAAGTCACTTGTGAAGTAACTTTGATAAAAAGGTAGAATGTCTGTCAAGTCCTTTTGGTTCCAAAGTCCCTCTCCTTTGACTCCAATGAGCTGCCTTCCTGTGACTATATTTGCAAAGAAATCATGCATTATGTGGCCCAGATGCTGCAACCCTGGGGCCTTGTGGGTTGCAAGGAATGGAAGAAGCGAACAGCAGTGGTGCTTGGAGTTGGAGTCTGTTGACCTGCTGGAGAGTAGCCACCACCTACTAGAAGGAGAGGCACATGCGGGTGTCGTGGTCTGAGCGGGTCCCCATCCTTTCATGTTATAAGCTGAGACTTGAACGAAATATTGCTGTCCCTGCAAAGAATTGAAATAGATAATGCATCAGACATTTTAATTAATCAGTTTTACCCTAGAAAGAGATCTCTGTTAACTTGCTCATTGTAACTCCGATGCCCATACCTTAGCTTTCTGTTTTTTTTGCTATTATGTTTATATTTTATAGTAACCACATTTGAAGTGTGCACTTAGTTTCTGTGTACTTTCTTGCTTTCAAAATTGAGATACAGGATTACTTTTTCTGAACCCTCCTCTCAAAAATCAACTATCAATTTTTAAAAGTCACGCAGTGCCAAGGGGTTTACCAAAAAACAGTGATCCTTAACCCTTTCTCCTTATTTCCTGATTCTCCGACGCAACAACCATCACCTTCTTTAGCCGATCAGATTACTTTAGAAAATTAACAAGGAATAATAAATATCTTTTCAAATTAGCACATTAAAAACCCGCCTTATTCTTTTACTGGCTGCCTCATATTTCACTGTAGAAAATACCATCATTTATTTAGCCAATTTTTCATGGGTGGATGTTAGATTTTTTCCATTTTGTGCTACAGTAAATAATGCTGCAATAAATGTATGCTACTCAGCTGTTCAAGCATTTTTATTAAATTAATTCTTTGATGTAACATCAGTTTTACAGCCATTATTAAAACAATGGCTTGTATCTTTATTTTTTATGGTATTCAGAATTAAGGCGCTGTTTTTGTTTGGTGAAAATCCGTTAATGTGTTTTACATGGTTTTATTTTTTGCTTTGACAATTTTTCTTTTTCCTAATGAATGCAAAGAGGCTTTGGAGAAGCCAGCATTTGAAGAAACATTGCTTGCAAAAATTGTAAAATGGTGTTTGAAGTTTAAAAAAAAAAAAAAGCAAACCTTTGTAGAGCCTTTGCTAGGGATTTAATAATATTGGCCTTAACACTATTATGAAGTTAAATTTTTTTCTAATATTGAAAATGGGTTTCTATGCACCTCAAGGCTATAGGGATTACGTAGAAGTGTAAATCTACTTCCAGGCTTTTATATGATTAGTATAGTGTCTGCATTGCTCTTATTGGATGGCCAAGTGGAAAAATTTAATCCCTGTAGAAATTAGTTCAGATATTAGTGAAACCCTCTTTGGAGAGTTTTCCATTTTTATCACATATCCCTTTTTCTTTTAAGCAATGGAAATTCCCTAGGGTTCCTTCTGGCTCTGTTCCATCATATGAGCCATAGGGTTGGAATCAGTCTTCTGCTGATACCATCTCCGGGGGCCACCCACTCTGGGGTTTGTTTGCTCTGGTAATCCACAGTTCTGGCCTCTGGTGTAGACATGCGATTAGGACTAAAAGTCAAGATTCTTGGTGGTGACCCAAACACCAAGAATTCTACTAGAATAAGCTGGTTCAAAGTTGGAAAGATGCAACCTAATGCCACTTTTCAATGCTGGGTTTCAAGATTGCATTTTACAGATAAGTGTTTTAATTCACCAGCCTTTAAAAAAATAACAACAGCAAAACTTTCCCCATATGAAGGTTTTAAGATAGTATTTGAATTGGACAATAAATTTATTTTAAGTTCCCTTTTGAAATATTTTGATTAAAAAGGATTTTTTATCTTTTGCATTGTAATTGAGGACATACAGGTTTGTTCCAGTTGGAAGTACTTTACTAGGTGTTTTTGTTTGTTGCATTTCGTATGTGTATATGGCTCAGAGTTCCACAAATAATTACTGTTTGAGTTTAGATTGGTTAACTAAATAAACATGGTTTGTTCTAGTTTTTCATTCACAGTTTAAATTGTTTTAGGTTACTGAGAAATGTAGCTCCACAATATATAGTTTCTTTTTTTGTGAAGGCAGTTTTAGCAGAGTTTTTTTTTTTTTTCCCTTTTTAATCATGGGAAAAGGATTTCTCTCAGGAAATTGTGTGACTCCAATTGATGACTGATCTCAACTGGGGCTGTGGGGGTGAGGGCTGGATGACGCTGTTATTTTTACCATCAGACAGAGAGTCAAAATTGGATCTCTCAGAGCCTTTGATCCCCCTGCAGATTAGACTGTGATCCAGAAAGCTGCAGCTTTCAAGGCTTGCATGAGGCCAGTCTTTTTCTGATCTCCTTAGAACATTGCAGCTTACAAAGTGGTTCATGCTGTCTACTTACTCCTTTGTGAAATTCAGATTATGGATACCAGACATATCATGCTTAATGAGTGGCAGTTGTTGCCAGGGGCCTGGGTGTTGGCTGTTGCCTCCAGAGTAGGCATTTGCTGTCAACATCTCCACACAAATACCAGGCACAGGAGATAGCAAGTATACCAGGAGGACATTTACCGTTATAAGTCCTGTGATTGTGCATCTCAGGGTGTGCAGGTGGTCCATGATGAGTTCTCCAGCCAAAGGAGAAAAGTCTTTAGATTTGCTCCATTCCACTGGAGGGATGGGGCCAAGAGGAGAAGAGAATAAGATTCAGTCATATGTCAAGAAGCACCATAGAAATTCTAGCATGTTCTCAGAAATGATGTTTGCAAGCCTCTTTCCTTATACCAGCACATTGAACAATCCTCTTTGGGATGTGAAGTCAGTTTCTAAGTTCACCATTATTTTTTAAAAGAGGAGCCAAATAAGTAATGATTTCATAGACATTAATATACCTTATGGGTTTTTTGGACCTCGAGAGATATGTTATATTATGGTATATGTACATTTGGATGTTCTTGGTGTGAGATATAATCTGTATTAAATGTAGTCATGGTACTTGATGGCAGGGACATGTATGAGAGTTTGCATCGTTAGGCAGCTTTATTCTTGTGAACATCACAAGAGTGTGCTACACAATTTAAGGGGGATGTCATGTTGCTTTATTAGGTAATATGTAATCATTTCATCCTTCACAAAAATGTCCTTATAGGGTATATGATGATTGTACAGTACTATACACATGGCCATTCCTATATAAAGACACATTATGTGTGTGTGTGTGTGCACACACATATGGATAATTAGACTCATACTAAAGTACACATAAGAACAGTTCATTGTATGTGTATGGAAGAAAAATCACTTAAGGTACCCAGAAACTAGGGGTACCTTAGAACTACCTGTGCCCACTACCCAGATTTGGCTTCTTTTTTTTTTTTTTTTTCCTCCGGTACCGGGAACCGAACTCACGACCTTGCGCTTGCCAGGCAGGCGCTTTTGCCGCTGAGCTAAATCCCCAGCCCCCAGATTTGGCTTCTGTTTCATCATTCAACTGAAAACTCTTTTTCAAGGTTCCAGTGACCTTCTCATCCCACATAAAGAAGCCTCCTTTTACTTTCTGCACATTGCTGGATGCCCCTTTCTTCTGCAGACACTCTTCCTTTAGTGTCTGATATACTAATTCTTTCTTATCTTCTCTTTTCCTTCTCCCTGCACTCTTCTTCCAAGCTTTATCCTTGGCTTTTTTTCAGCTTTAGATTGTGGGATTTGTGGCAGTGCTCTTCTGTCCTGACATTCCCAAAGTTTTTTTTTTTTTTGGTACCGGGAATTGAACTCATGACTTCAGCTTTGCCAGACAAGCGCTTGTGCCACTGCGCTATATCCCCAGCCCCTCCCAAGGTGGATGCTCATTCTTGGTTAAGTCATCCAAGTTGTAATGCCCTGTGTTACTGTGGGACCATGTTCGTTTGTAACATTTTCCATTGGTTGTAAAACCATGGATAGCGAGATATATCGTGCATCACGGGTAAAGCCTGTCTTAACTAACTGTTTACACACGGAAGGATTTAAGTCAAACTGTAATGAAGCAGGAGCTTAAGGAGCTGAAGTCACATGGAAAACCAGACCTCTGTTTTCTAAACTTCATGGTGACAAACTAGAGGTTGGAAGATTTAAGGTACCTGCCCTATAACACTTTTGTATCCAAACCGTCTCCAAATCCTGCTGTTCCTCTTGAGTCATTCGTTCTTCTGCTTTGGAGCTTGCTGACCCTGATTTCTCTGCTCCTCCTCCTTGTGTCCCTGGGGATCTGGCTTGCTTGGCTGGCTCTCTTGAAATTTCTCTTTCTAGTGCACTGATATGCAGCACCAGCCTCTTTTTCAGACACTCCACCTCTTTTGGTCTCTGGTTTTTGCAACCTTCTTTGCCTTCTGTCTTCGTTTGCCCCCTCTTCTGCTTTTCCTACATTTTGGCTCCCTGTCTAGGCTCTTTCCGGTTCCTCTTCTCCTTTCCCTTTGGTGTGATGTTCGCTGGGGGTTTGGTTTTGGCTCTTGCGTTGATCTTATCTTTTATGGCTTCAACCATGAGTATTAAAACTAGATCCAGCCTTTTTTGAGTCTAACTGCCTCCTGCAAATCTCCACCTGAGTGTTTCTCACTCAATTTGAATGTTCCTTAAATACTTTTTTTTGCCAAAAGAGTGTTTTTTTAATGATAGCTTATTGCACTTCCGTCACCCAACCCCAAATCTCACTGTATGTTTACCTCTCTCTCCCTAATTCCTTACGATGAGTTGATCACTAAACCCAGTCGTTTCCACTTCTAGAATGTCTCCTGTTAGTTCTCCTTTTCACCTCCCACTGCGATACCTCTAGAATAGGCCTTTATAATCATAAACATCAATTTTGCAAGAGCTTCCTAATTGATTTTTTCTGCTTGTCTCCTCATCCTTACATGTAATCCTCTTACTATAGCCTGAATTATAGTTTAAAAATGCAGATCTAATTATTTTCCTCTCCACCTAAAATCCTTTGACAGTGTCTAGTTGCTTTGAGAATAGAATGAAGCTTTAATAAAGCTTTTAAGGAGCCTAATTTCTGGTCCCTAAATTATACTACTATCCTCTTCTGCCATTTGCCAGAAGAAGGTCTTTCTTCTACAAGTCCCTGTTATCTGATTATTGTTATTGTTATTATTATTTTTACTTTTCTGCTGCTGTGTCTTCAGCTCATCTTCCAATCTTTACTTAGTGAAACTCTAGTAATACTTTAAGACCTAGCAAAGTCAGCTCCAAATTTCCTAGGAAAAATTAATTAAATACACCTGTTTTTGTTCACTCATAGTCCTTCACTCATATAAAAATAAGATTTCTTACACTGTAATATGTTTTATGGTATGTGTCTTTTTCTTTTGTTAGATTGTGAGAAACTTGAGAACAGGAGGAATGTCATTCATTGCTTCCTCTATGGTACAATACATGTATTTGACTGAATGTGTATATACACACACATATACATGTATATGCATGTATATGCATGCACATATACATGTATCCCCAGATAAGCCTACATTTTTTCCTCCCAGTGCTGTATATGTATGTTAGTCTATGTGTGTGTGTACACACACACACACACAGACACACACACTCATATCCTCAAGACTCTAGTCTTTTCTCCTCTCCAGTAATGCATATATATTTTATCTTATAGTATGTAGATATATGCACAATACCCCCAGAATAGACTCCAACACTTTATCCAACATGGAGATACTTTTTCCCATGTATATCTTCAAAAGTCTCCTTCTTTGGAATCTCTCAGGCATGTTATAAAATATAATTTAAAATCAAATGATTAAAATTATATATTACCTATTAAATTAGGCCTGTACCTCCTTAAAACACATATTCTAAAACATAAATGCTAAATACATTATATACACATACGTTTTTAAAAAATGTTTTATTCTGCTTTTGAACTATCAGTGCTCTTAAACTGGGGATGATTTCTAATCAGAATAAGGTTGTACTTAATTCTAGCTAAATAAAATAAAAGAAAGGATTGAGGGAGTTATAAATAAAAAAAAAAGAGTAGCAAATGTGCAAGGATATATAGGAAGAACAAAGAACACAGGAAAATTCTAGAAGCAAAAATATCCTTGGTTGCTCTTGAGGCATACATGATTGATTGCCGTGGAAAAGGTCCAAAGGGGAGGTTTAGAGTAAAGAGCTTATGACTCTAGAATAAGAACTCAGGATGATTTTCTAAACTAAAGGATGAAGAAAGGATTAGTGAGAATAATACCAGATGATTTGGCAAGTGATTAATGAGAAGTTGCTCAAGATACAATGTTTAAAATTTTGTTTAAAATTTCTAAAGAAGTCACAATTCAGTTTTGAATAAAAACTGTTCTTGTTCTATTGAAATGTTTTACAATGCATGTTTCAGGTGGAAAAAGAGAGCCTGATTTCTTGGAAAAATGGAAGCAGGGTTGTTAGGAGGTATGGTCTTGCTTTGGGAGTTAATAGAGAATTTTAAACAGTTAAGTCTAATTAGATCTTATAACACATCTGAGTTTCAAAGGGAAAGGGATTAATGAACAAATTATACTGGAGGGAAAAAAAATTCTCCTTGTTCAAGTGGCCAATCTATTCTGGGGTGATCAGCAGTCTTTTCCCTATATGTACTTCTAGACTGGTGGACTCCTTTTATCAGGAAGCCACGTAGAGATCTAGGCGGCTCGTGGGCATTTAAAGAATGAGGAGGGACACTCTGAGAACACCTGGGATTTCTAAGAAAGCAACTTCCCGTGTTCTTTCTGGAGAGTTGTTCCTTGGTAAAGACTTAATATTAAAGGCCTGGGAAAATAACTTATAAACCTACTTTAAATCCCTGAAGGGCTGGGGAGGTATGTATGTGAACTTTAAAACTGCAGAAGGCTTGTAATTTTAAGATAAAGATCAGAGAAACTGTTTCTACTTAAGTTTGGGAAATAGAAGCAGGGTCTAATCATGCAATAGCTCATAGCAGTTCAAAATTAGCAAGAAAGGTAACAGACATAGCCCTTATTTATATTCCTGAAATTTTGGATTAATACTCCCTACCATTTTGCTCTGGCTCAAACTGTGATTCGCTATATATCAAGTAGCCGAATATTTTAAATGGGAAGCTTTGTTTTTGTGGGCAACATTTCATTTTAAATGTAAGATTTTTAAAAATATAGAGTCGTTTGGGGAGTGCTATAGTTTGATTATGGGTTGTCTCCTCTGAAACTCATGTTGAAATTTGGTTCCCAATGTAACAGGGTTGCAAAGTGGTGGGGCTTTTAAGAGGTGATTAGGTCGTTAAAAGGGATTAATGCCTTTCTCACAGGAGTGGGTTGCCTCTCACGGGACTGGATTAGTTACCACAAGAGCATATTGTTACACAGCAAGGCAGCCCTCTGTTTTGTCTCCTGCATGCTCCTGCTCACCCTTCTGTTTTTTGCCATGGGTGAAGGGAGGCAGCATGAGCCCCTTGTGGTGCCATGTACCTGGGCTTCTCAGCCTCGAGAACCATGAGCCAAGACAAATCTCTTAGCTTTATAAATTTCTCAGTTTCAGATATTTAATTATAGCACCGGAAAATGGACTGAGACAGGCAGAAAAGTTCTAGCTCCACACCACCATCCCCTGGTGGCAGCTGTTCAAAGCACAGTTTGGAAGCTTACAAAGAAAAAGAGCACCTGAAAGTCTG